TGGGTGCTGGGTGTCGCGGGGTCTTCGCCGCCGGAGGTGCGTGTGGAACGGGTGACCTGCGCTCAGCCCTGGAGCTGGGCTGCGGCTCTGGGTGTCGGTCTCGGAGTCTTCGTTCAACACCAAATCCGTCAGGGAGCTGAAATTCCTATCGGGACAAACAGGTGATAGTGCCCCTGCTCCCGGGTGTCGGTGAAAGCACAGGGCTGTTGCTCCTGGTGTGTATGGTTTGCTTCCCAAAGAGGAAAAGTCATTCTTCTGGGAATGACCCCTGTATGCTTGTTCAGCTGGGTGTCTAAACTTTCCCTTTCCTTTATTTGTGTCGAGCACAAATAAATTGGCGTCAGCGTCAATAACAGGTACTGTCACCTGCTGTCATCGTGGGAGCAGACACTCACACTCTGTAGAAATGCTTCTTGTACAGCTGCTTTAGCACCCCGGGGGGACCTTCAGTGGTTGCGGTATGGGGTAGCCGCTGTCCTGTTCAGTACAGAAGCGTTTCTCTTCATCATGTTGGCAGAAGTTTAGGAGCTAGGGAAGCCTTAATGCTGAAATGCAACATCTGCGGAATTAGGGCTCCCTTCCAGGGGTGAGCTATGGCTCGCAGGGGTTTGCACGAGGTTCTTCTCTGTGGTGCAGAATATACGCAACTTTAACGCATGGCATCCTTCAATAAGCAAGGAGGTGTGGCACGGGGCCGTTTGGCAACAGGCGTAGTGCTAACAGCGTGGGAAAGCAATGGGTGCTAAGGCGATAGACCAGCCTTCATAAACAGGCAGCTCAGTGCCTGTTAGAAAAGCTTTCCAAAGTGTTCTGTCATCCTGTATGTCTCTGTTGAGGGGGAAAAAAAATAATCATCGTGTAATGATTTGCTAGTGAAGAAAATAGTAAGTGCCAGCCCTTTGCCCCAGATGAGCTAAACTTGGGATCTATAGTACTTCTTTTTTGATTCATGGCACCAAGGCATACTTGTATTTCTACAGATAATGTGAAATGCAGCTGTGTTGACAAATATGTCTGTAAGTTAATTGAGTCTCTTTTGGTTACCAGCCCCTTAGTATGTCTTTTTGTCTTCTGCTGGCTGTTACGGATGTGATAGCTTACAATCAAACCTTATTTCATCCAGCCCCAAATCACTGCGTGTGACAGGCAATGCGTTACAAGTCCACAAACATCTATTGCAAATCAGGAGGGCTTTTCATGTGGAAAGTTTACTACTTTGTGGGGAGAGCAGAATGGAAGGCAACTAACTAGAAGCTAGGGCCTTCTGAGGAAGGGGAGCAAGTGGCGTGGTCTGTTCCCTGTCACACTTTGAGGAGAGCCACGTAGCACCCCCTCACCCCCATCTCCTATGTGTACACGTGTCCTCTCAACCCCAGGAAAGGAAAAGGAGCACCTACAGTGACCGCATCGACTGTGTGCATTTGGGTTAGGCCATAACTGAGATTGTTTGCATGTCTCATCGTGTTACTGGCCTTGTGTCCACCACATCATGGATGACAACACCATTGTTTTTATTTCTCTGATTGGTTCACATTTATATAGATATATATGTATAAAACCCCAATATTTTCCTGTTTAATAAACCCATTGGCTTTGGCTGGGAAGCGTGCTTTGATAAGAAAAATATTTGTGTTTTCAGAACATCTGTAGTAGTTTTATTTAAATAAAAGTAAAAACCCACTCTTTGAATGGTATTTTGGTCTGTTTTCCAGTAAACTTGAATTCTGGATTATATCTAAATGAAGCTTGATTCTAAGTCATTCATGATTTTCTAATACAATAACCATGTTAAATGGTTACAAAAATATTGTTGTATTTTAATGTAATTATGGAAATAGTTAATAAATGAAGTTTTCCTTTTTGCTAATTTAAACTCTAGTTTAGGTAAAATTTGTAATTAAACTATTGATTTTTTTTTTTAAGGGGACAATACACCTGTTCCGCAAATCACAGAGATCATTTGTTGGAAAGTTAACGCATGAATTTAGGCTGGTTGCAGCAGATAGGAGGGTAAGTATTTATTTTAAAAAGTGAATAGTAATAACAAAGACATTAGTTGTGATAAGTTAAAGTACATTTTGAAATTCTTTTTCGCTGAAATTTTCTAGCTGTGCATTAAAAAACAATGCAGCTGTGAAGCTGGATTCCTTCCTGCACATTGTCCCTGTCAATTAATGTTCTCCAGAACTGGACACTGAACATGCACAGATGTTTTTGGGACCTAAGTCTAGCACAAAGAACGGAACCCACTAATATTAAGTTGTCTTCAAAAGTCACATGGTGTAGGCTGTAATAAAATGCAAATATTATACAGGGCTGACTTTTTTTTTTTTTTTAGACCAAAGCGATGTTTTAAGTGTGATGCACAAGTGCTGTTTATAAATGAGTTTTGATACAATTTGTAAAGTTAAAAATAGAATATGGACTGCTTGTTCTGAAATGAGTTGTAAATTTTTGGGAGGGAGGAGAAGCCAGTTCTGCTTGCATGACGAAGTACTGCAATATTGTTTTTTTTAAAACCAGATAGATATATTTTTGTCTTGTAAATTTTGGAAGATGTAAAATACATATTTATTCTCATCAACAGTCCTGGAAGATCTTGCTGTTCGGTGCTATAAATTTAATATGTATTGGCTTCCTGCTAATGTGGTGCAGCTCTACAAACAGCATAGGTGGGTGGCTTTCTTGTACTGAAACTACAACCAACTGTTTCTTAGCTCGTGAAGTTCCAACGTACTAAAAAAAGCAAAGTTCAGCACGTAATGGAGTTAGGTGGCTGCACAGCCAGGTTTGGAAAGTGTTTCCTTTTGATTTGCAACAGTCAGTTTAGAGGCATTTCTCACAGGCAAGTGTGGATGGGTGAAAATCCTTCAAGGTTTGCAAGGTTTTCCAGACCTGCTGGTCATTGTCTTCCTGCAGTACCCTCATTAAGATTGCAAAAAAGGAGATTTTTAAGCTAGTCGTCAAGCATGTCCCTTATATAAATAGTTCAAGTGACATACAGAGACCCTGACTTGCAGTTGAATTAACATGTTTGTAGTGTGGCAAAAGGCTTCTCCAATTCTAGGAACGCCCCTTTTCAGTATTTTGTATATTGTCTACTTTTATATAGGGGCTCCAAGATGCTTCCCATCGTTTGTACTGAAAGTAGAATGCCTTACATTTCTAATTTGTGACACAGGTTTACTTGCAGTTTCAAGATGGGTTGGGGAAGCAAAACAATTAAAAAATTCTGTTGAACCTGCAATAATGCAAATATTTCACTGCAGTAATGTACATAAGAGATCTCTTGCTTTGGCAGATGATATGTTACTGGAAGATCTCCTGACTTTTCTGTACTTAAATTCTTAGTCACAAGCTTAATACTTGTTGTATCTGGGCATTATTACATGCTTTATTAGAATTAGGATTGCCATAGTCAACCTGTTTATGAAGTTAAATATATTGGTGTGTTTAGGACATTCCTATAACACACACATAGAAAAGACAGAGCAACTTGCTCTATCAGCAGAGACAATTTAGGTAGATAGAAGATGAAAAAGAGCTGCACAAGAGGGACGTAGAAGAATACAAGTGATTTCTGCCTTGGGAAATTATATTAAGTTTTAATATTCGTTTTTTTTCTACAGCTTTAACTGCTTACACATATTTGACAATCTTTGACCTTTTCAGGTGAGTTTTTTTCCCATCTAGTCTTATACTTTGTATGTTTCTATACATACAAAATTTATTTACGAAAACATGTTATTTAGAGTCATCAGTATAGAAACACTGACTGCACTAGCTAGTTTAAATATAGCTTAAATGAGTATAAAATCATACATCACAATAAATAGATCATGAGAAACACCATAGCTGTATTGAGAATGACTAGTAACAAATCTTTGTGCAGATGTGTAACAACATAAAACAGAATCTAGCATCAAACTGTTATCTGGTGGTTCACTCAGAATATTTCCCTAATGCCACAGTCATTGGTTCTGAAGTATCCCTCAATTTTAGCATCAGGAAACTAGGAGTGTGTAATTCTATTTCTGTTTGAAAATATTTCAAGAGTTAGATCCCATGCACTCTTCCAATAAGGTCATTAGATATTTTTAGTATTTTTCCTGTGTATTTTCCTAACAAAATTATATTAAAACTACTTTAAGTATGAAAGTTCTGAACACTTTTGATAATATTGGTAATACAGACATGAAATATATTCAGTTCTCATCTGAGATGCAGATTGGCAGCAGTGGTTGGGAAATAAACTGCATTAAATGAATGTATTTTTTAATTATTAACCTACATTATCTGCCTTGCTAGCTCACTAGCTTATAAAAAGTATGGATCAGCTATCTGCGGTCTGGTTTGTCCACTACCTGCTATAGCTTATCTGACTGATAGTAAAACATTTATAAATCACAGCAGCAAACATACAGAAAGGAAAATCAATAGTTGATATAGGCACAAAAATACTTAACTTGATCTGTGACTGCTTTAGAATTGGGATATAACTTTAATGAATCTCATATTTCTCTCAGAATTTTGTATCTGCTGAGTTATGTCATCTTGACTAAAAATACCTTTTTTAACCTTGGGAAAAGTTTTGACATTGTGTTTTGTATTCATATAGGATTTTTTTTTTTTTTTTTTTTTTTTTTTTTTTTTAGTTTTAAGAGAAGATGGAATACCCCTGGCACTCACATATTAGGTTAATTAGGGGATGAACTAGAAGATTATTCTAACTCACAGTGATCTCTTCCAAGAGTTTTGATTTGCTGTAAGGGAGAACAGTGCTCAGTAATTCTGCTGAAAAAATCGATATCTGTGGCTTTTTGTTTTTGTCATTTTCCTGGTCATTTATAATAGTCTTACTGAGTATGCGAATTTGGTATTTTGTAGATGAGCAGTATTATTTCCTCTGCTTTTGCTTTTACTCCACACAGCTGTGGATCAGGTTATGAGGATGTGATTGTTCAGCGGCTGTGGGGATGAGTTCTTGATCGAGTCTGTTTTAACATTGTCATTAATTAAGAAAGGACTGCATAAAGGCACAGATGGCACTGAATCCAGGTAGATTCCAATTTAAAAAAAAATTGTCCAAAGGGGTCAATAGAGGAAAAATAGGCAAAGGAAATGAGTCTCATCTTAGAAAAATTCAGGATGGTACCATGGGGATAAAATAATTGGAATTTCAGACGTTCAATATGAGGGAAAAACTTGGACAGAAAATAGCACGAGAGACTGTGGCTGTCAGTGAATGGCCAATTAGATTAGAGCTTGCGTAGATGAATGCAGCTAAAAAAGTAAATCTGTTTTGGCCATATGTGTAGACAAATTACACTGTGGAAAAGAAAGGCAATACTTGGCATAGCCTGAGTCATATTCTGGAGTGCTAAATCCAATTCATGGTATATCTCTCAAAGACGACTTTAATGGAGAGCTTTCTTCACTTTTTCACTGGGATACAAAGGAAGTGACACAAATGTGACAATCCTGTCATCTTGCTGATCGAGCTCCTTCTCATTTAAATGGCCTTTCTCAGGTTACAGTATTTCTAGGCAAGTTCCTAAAGCACATGTAAGAACAGCTGATACCTAATTGTGCAGTCTCAGTTTTATTCCCAAGCACAACCTTTTCTGGATTCACTGGAACTGTCACTGTGACAGTGATGGAGGCATTGAGTTCATGTGCTTACAAGGTGTGGTTACTCATTTGTTCAGTTCTGATGGCTGAAGTACATATTTGTAGGTTATCCAGTTTGTAAAGGCTGCAGTTATTTATCATAGTCTAATTCTCCCCCTTTTTTCAGTTTGATAACATGTCTAATAAGCTACTGGGTAATGATGAAGAAACCCAGCCCAGTCTATTCATTTGGGTAAGTACTAATAACAAGATCTAGCGTTTGAAAATACAACATTTGATACGTTGCTGACTGTTGTTGCCTGTATGCCCTAACAGCCGTAACTAATAATCCGTGTGTAACAAAGCCTAAAACTAAGGAAGCCCAAGATTGATGCTGTAAAGAACAGTCACAGAAGAGAGGAAAGGGGAGGAACAGGAAAAAGAACTAAGAAATGTTTAATTTTAAGCTGTTTGTCATAAGTGGAGTGTTGGCTTAAAAGAAATTGAAAATAATGCCTATTCCATAAAACTTCAGTTTCTTCCCATCTATCTGCTCTTAAAAGAACTGGAAATAGTAGATCTGTCCTGCTGGTTCCTGCATTTGATGTGGTGTTCAATGTTCAGTGTTTCTAAACTTACTTCTCAAATTTCAGGTTTGAAAGGTTTGAAGTTCTAGCTGTATTTGCATCTACAGTTCTGGCACAGCTTGGTGCTCTTTTTATACTGAAAGAAAGGTAGGGATATGTACCATTTTCTTTAATTTTTTGTTAGGTATGAAGATATTCCAGATTGAGCAAAAGTATATGCATTCTACAAATGCGATCTGTAGAGAGATATTGTAGAAAAAAAACTTCAGATTTTTAAAAATATTGCTAAACCTTACTGCTCACTTCTATTGATTACGCTGCATGTAGGCTTTAGATGTAATGATAGAAATTGATATAAGTAATTAAACAGCTTTCAAGGAAAAGACTCAGTGTTCTTAAGAATCATGTTTTCCAGAAAGTTAGGTATTTCATTTAATGCATTTCCCTATGCATCTTGACTTTTTAAGTTCATTAATAAATAAAACTTTTTTTTTTTCATCAGTTACTTCAAAAAGTAAAGCAACTTCTTAATATGTGAAGAATCTGAATGTGTAAACTGTCAACTTCATCAGTCCCTCAAAATTTGCTCAAGTATTAATTTGACATACCATCTATGCTTGGAAGGGTTTGTATTTCAGGAGGTTAGCCTAAAAAATTATTTTAGTCTTCAAAAATGAAGAGGAGTTTGTTAACATCTGGAATTTAAAACTGAGGCAGCGTACCTTCCATTTTTCTATTCAAGGGCTCTATTTTCTCTCTAAAGGGCTATGTTAACAACTTAGCAATTTTGTACTAGAGGTCGATTTGTTTTCTGACAATACACTGGAATGAATTCTAATAATGACACACTGTCAAAGCCTCCATGTATTCAAACATCAATTTTTAGGAAATTCCCAAAACTTATCATAGGTTTTTCTGTTACTGCTGAAGCTTATTTCTTATTTTACTGGTGGGTAAAAACAAGATTTGTATCTCCACCACACTATCCAACATCTACTTTATTTGTCCTTGCTTAGTGAGAGGCTGTAAGTTAGGGATTTCAGACATACTCTGTTGCAGTTCCCAACATCAGTGGTGGCCGTAGCAGTATTTTTTTGGCATGTTCATTTACAGGCATCTTTTTTATTGTGTAGGTAGTATTTGTGGTAGCTAGCACCGATGTGGCACAGTTTGTAAGCAGTTGGAAAATCTAAATTACACCCTGCTTCATTTCAATGTTAAATGCTTTCAGCACTTACAGAAACTGCTGTGCTTATTTAAGCAATTTGGGTTTTTGCAGTACTGTATCTGTCAGTTTTTCTTTATGAATGGCAGCTAATTCTTCAGAACTGAAAAACTGTGCTTCAGGTATAGAAGTTCTATTGTATGAATATAACTGAAATTTTCAATTATTTTGTAGTGCAGAGCGGTTTCTGGAACAACCTGAGATACACACGTAAGAAATTATTTTGATATGTAAAAAGAGTTTTTTCAGTTTCCCTTTGTTTTTCTAATTCTTAATCTAGCATGTATTAATTATGCAAGTACATTCAACACCAAATTGGGTTTGGTACTTTGGCATTTGTTTCAAACTCTATGCAAGCTATATTGCAAACAGTTTTTTCAAGGTGCAATTGAAATGTAATACACATGCTCTCTTAAATAATGATTTAACTATGTATTGCTAGTTTAGTTACTCTCATTTTTTTTATGGAGGCCTCTTAGGTGGCCTGATATGTGGGGGAGGAGGATGCTGTGATCATGAGGGAACTGGAGGTGTTGCAAAGATGATGAAGACCATAAAGAATACGGGGAAAGGAAAAATGTGTTATGGGCAAAAGAGTGGGACATGGGATGTATGGTGAAGTTGTCCTCCTAGGAAAGGGGAGGGGCATAGGGCATTGTTCCATAGGAAACTAAACTTTTCTGGTTCTACTGCTGAGGGGACAATGTATTTGTATCTTCAAAGGACAAACATGTATGCGTGTGCATATATGCAATTAGTTAAGAACGGCTATGAAACATTATGAAAATTATGTACAGCCTAATGTGGTAACACAAATGTATGAAGTTCAGTGATCTCATATAACCCTTAAAGTGATAATACACATTACACTAGTTTATCTTACTCTTGTTTTCAGTCTCAGTGAAAGACACCAAGCAAAGTATTTTGATACTGTTACTAGTAATTACAGTTTGATTTCATGTTTTGTGATGATGTGAAATTAAGATACTTTTTTTAATTTTTCCTCCATAGGGGGCGACTGCTGGTTGGTACTTTCGTGGCTCTCTTTTTCAACTTATTTACAATGCTTTCCATTAGGAATAAGCCTTTTGCTTATGTCTCTGAAGGTATGTGATAAATTAGTGTATAACAGGAATTGGGAAAAGATTTTAATGTTCCTAAATTGTTACCTGGGACTTTTTCACTGTGAAGTAGGCTTGCAATCGTTCCCTGTAAACTGTTTATAGTTATAAATATATATTATA